TAGCAATCTACCACCTGAATCAACAAGTCACACATATGCATCCACTAAAGAAGATATAAAAGAAATGATAAGACTTTTGAGGACTGTCAATCCATTTAAATATACTCCTGAAAGAAATTTACAGTCCTTCCCAACTATAAGGAAAATTGTTCATATACATGTTAAAAAAGTGCAGTAAGTATATAAATAGGGACATATATTAATCAATAGTTAATAGTTTGTATTCTAAACATCCATGCATTTTCAGCAAATAATACAGGCACACATTATTTGTTGGAAAACGTACCTGGATTTGAAGTGATCTGAAGTACAATAGTATTTTTTGCATGTTCACTGTCAAATATAGGTAATATTGCTTTTATCTTCTCTACAGATTTCAGTTCCATTGCATGGTCAACAATCTTGTTGATTAAATCGATGCTGAACCATGTGGCTAATCCTATTCCTCCAATACAAGATGGTCCTGATCCATGGAGTGTCAATCTATAAGCCTCCAAGGCATCATACATACTTTTTTGCATTGTCTGTTAGTTTAATTGTTTCTGAGCATTGCACTGACTCTACTGTTGGTCTAATAGCCTCTGTATCTCTGTTAGTTGAAAGGCAGATATCACATTTACAATTTTTTAGGTGGAAATCACAACAGGTATGATCTGGGAGGTTTCGTTCACATACTGGGTGTCCAAAGTAATTAAGAATCATTTCTCTCTTGCACATTGGTTCTTCAACAAATTTTCTCCTAACATCTGACATATGTTTTTTTGTCATTGAGATGTCATAACTGTTGTATATAAGTGATTTGGATTTTAAACTATCCCGTCCTCCATGGTGTAGGGTACTCCAATTTGTATGACTTGTCGTATGTTCTTTATGTCAATTCTAATGCCAAATGAAACAGTGACAAATAATATTCTCAATTTTGAATCTCCATTGACCAACTCAGCAACAAGTCTTTTTCTCTCATACTCAGGATAATTAGCGTGAAATTGAGTGAACATTCTATTCTTTGCATTAATGCATGAGCCGCCTGGAGGGTCATATTGATCAATTCCCAACGTTTGACTAAAGTAAATGTAACACTCACTTATTGTGTCTAGATTACCATAAATAATTGTTAGTGGAAATTCTTGCCTCTGCTGCTGCAGGTCAAGTGCTAGCGGCTCCAAAATTTCATGCAATTTCTTATATAATAATAATTTGTTACTTATATAGCGCAAATTAACATGCATTAAAATATGATCAAATGCGCTTTACAAACTGAAACTAGAATATTTACAATTATTGAGAATTAGAATATTTACAATTATTGAGAATTAGAATATTTACAATTATTGAGAATTATAATATTTACAATTAGTTCTAAAAAGACAATTAAAAGCTTCCCTAAAATAATGTGTTTTAAGAAGTGACTTAAAAACACTAAAATTCTCTTGTCTTCTTATTAAAACAGGAAGACTGTTCCATACAATTGCTGAGGCATTCGAAAATGCCCTGTCTCCTAACGTCTTTTTCGATCTCGCAGTGTTATTCTGTAACAACGTTCCTGTGTTTTATCTCAGATTATAACGAGATGTCTTCCTGATTGTCACTAAACTTCTTAGATATTCAGGAGCAGTTTTGTTAATACATTTGAATGTAAGCATTGCAATTTTAAAATTTACTCGAAATTTAACTGGGAGCCAGTGTAATCTGATTAACGACGGCGTAATATGTTCATGTTTTGGTACAGAGCACACTAAGCGGGCTGCAGCATTCTGCACTCTTTGAAGCTTCATCAGGTGCGTGGATGAGACACCAAATAGTAAACTATTACAATAATCTATTCATGATATGACAATGGCCTGAACGATCGATTTATTGTCTTCGAAGCTTAAATATTTCTTAATGCGCCTAATATTATGTAAGTGATAGATCACAGATTGGCACGTCTTATTAATTGCCGTTTTCATGCTTAACTTGTTATCAAACCACGATCCAAGATTCCGAGCATTCAGCTTTCATCTTTTCATCTTATCATTCAGCTTGAGTTTATCCTCGGTCATCCATGTCTTAATGTTGGCTATGCAATTTTGCAATGCAGTGACCGCTGCTAATTCACTAATAGTGGAATCAGGCTTAAAAGAGATGTACAACTGAGTGTCATCAGCATAAGCATGTGCGTCTGGAAGATGGCTCTTTATGACTTCGAATAGCTTACTGGAGTATATTATAAACAGCAATGGTCCCAAGCAGGAGCCCTGAGGGACACCGTGAGGCAGAGCAAAATCTCTTGAAAAACTTCCATTTATTGTTACTCGCTGTGATCGTCCTGACAAGTAAGACCGAAACCAACTAAGGGCGTTTCCGGTAATCCTGCGCCGCTTTCTCTTTGCTTCAGCTATATCTTGATTATACCAGGGGACTTGTGGTCTTGATCTTACAACTTTTGTTTTAAGGGGCGCATGAGCCGTAGCTGGTTAAAGGTTTAGCGTGTTCCCGCTTACACAAATCTGACAACACAAAATCCTGCTTAAGACACTGAAGATTCACAGCCTTTATTTTCCTATAGGTAACTCTTTTGACTTGGAAAACAGGCCTCACTAAGTGAAGACTGCTATGAACAGCTGCATGATCAGATAAATAGTGGCAACTACATGGTGGCGACCTTATGAGTGACTCCATTTTTTGTGTGATAATAAGATCCAGGGTGTGACCATGGATATGAGTCGGTTGCATGAAGTGCTGCTCAAGTCCAAATGATTCCAACAAATCAAGGAACTTCATTGCGCCGCTGTCCTTAGAGTCATCCACATGAATGTTAAAGTCCCCAAGGACAAGCAAGCTCTCCTTCGAGAGGATAACCGATTCTAAGACATTAGAAAACTCTTTCATAAACATGTTAATAGAAACCTTGTGGCCTTCTGAAGCTGGGGATCTGTAAACAATGACAATCCTAAGCTTACAAGAAGTTGATAGCTGCATCAGAAGCTCAGAGTAATCAAAAGATTCTTCTTCACAAGTTCTAACTGTAGTAACTCTCATACAGTCACGGTGAAGAAGACCAATGCCCCCACCTTTCCGTCTTAAACGTGGATGATCAACTAATTTATAACCTGCTGGACACAGTTCAACACGCACTGCATCATCCGTTTTCTGTAGCCAGGTCTCAGTGACAATAACTAAATCAAATTTGTTATTGTAAACATAATCAACAAAATTGGCTGTCTTGTTTCGTATAAGACACAGATTGAGACTGTAAATTTTCGACTTTACTCATTCTGTCTGAAGATGACTTTGTAATAAAGTCAAAAATTTACAGTCTCAATCTGTGTCTTGTTTGAATTATATTTTGATTCTCAAGATGTCTTGTTTCGTATAGATTGCGCATTTATTAAACAAAGCAATAGACCGCTGTTTTGTGCTTCTGTATTCAATGGAACACGCTGTATTTCTGTAAGATTTGAGATATTACATGCAGGCCTCGGATTTGTTTCAATATCACCACTTTGGATTAACAGACAAAACGTAGCAGTTGAATTATTATAATACGAAATACGCCTTGCTAACCATTTCCAGTTGTATTTGCTCGTTTATTTCGCCAAAATCATTCACTATTGACAGACAAACACTGCCATATAAATTGTCATCGATAACATCTCTTCCAAACCAAACAAGCACAGCAAAAAAGGCCAGATAGACGGAGCTCAGAAAAACATTACATGCCGCCATTACGTGTTACGTCAAGCCAGTATTTTGTCTAGGAAATGATCCAAAATAAATGTTTGGTCGATCTGGATTCACATTTATGATAGCTGGCTCGCATAGCCCTAGTGACATGATAATTTTTTTTTGCATATTTACAGAGCAGTGGCTAAGTGCAATGATTGGCACATTTGGAAAAAAACTTGAAACCAAACACACTTTTCCATATGCTGGATGCGAAAGTCCTTCCTAAAACATGATCAAAATGAATTGTGATATGTATATTAAATCTCATTTGCTTCTTATTATTCAATAAATGTTGAAAATATACAAGACACCATTCTCAACAATTAACCTTCTTCCTCTGATACACACATTACTTTTGCTTAATCTGAAACTTACCATTCTATAACAAGATGGGCCTCATAAACGACTATAGCTTTAACGTCCATTTTAAGCAGTGAAGATGTACGAAAGTTGCCAGCTACAAACATGTCTGGGTGGGCAAATACTATTTTACATTTCGAATTGATTTCTTTTACATTATTTGCCTTAAGAACCACAACATTCAGTTTCGATTTAATCTTTTCCACTTGATCATGCATAAGTGCATTCAACGGCGAGACCACAATAACAAGAGAAGATGATGATGAGAAAATATAGTCAAAAATCAGGGGCAGACACTGGGTAAATCAATGACTTGCCGTAACCAGGGGGTAGAACCGCTAATGTATCTTTTCGCTGGATAACTGTAGCCTTTAATGCATCATACTGTGACTCCTTCAGTGAAATTTCTTCCTGCCCAAGTATGAATAACACATGGTTGATGGCTTCGTGAAACTTTAGTACATTTTGTATTTTAATATTGTTATTTAATATTTCCTCCATCTTGAATTAGCTTTTAACTAAACACATGCGCTGTGAAACCGGATCTCCAAAAATTTTGGTGCAATTACGGATTATGCAAAGCCTTCGTCATTCCTTCCGCCAAGGATCGTGGGCTCTGGGTACGAGATTGGTGCCACAGCTGAGGAAATATGTGCCTTGCGTAGGCAGTTGCGATATAGAAAAAAATCTATATATCGATATCGAAATAAAAAAATCGATAATATCGACTATATCGAATTATGCAAATGAAAAACGTAATTTAGTCAACTTGCATGTATATGCATCACAAACAGTTAAAAAGAAGTGCATGAAACCAGTCATTGTACGTCTCGAAGATTTATATATTGTTTTATTAACAACGGTTTATGCGTTTATGAAAGATATTATTTACAAGCCTAATGGTTTCACACTACAATTAAATATATATATGTTTATAAATTTTCTGCGAGAAACACTAACATGTTTGCCTGGCTTGGCTTGAGGTTTACTCGCTTCGCCGTAACTATCTGTCCCGCTTTACTAAAAAGTCTTTCAGTTGGAGCACTGCTCGCGGGAATCGCCAGGTATCGTCGGACATACTGCGACAGGAGAGGAAAGTCATTCTCGTGGAATTTCCACCACTGGAGTGGGTCGTCATCTCCATCGATCGTCGGAAATTGCAAATATCGGGCAATTTCGTTTGCCACGCGATCTCGTGGTGACTGGGCTGGCGACGGCGATTGTTTGATCTTCTTCATACTTGTGAGAGAGCCAAGGGTCTTCTTAGCTTTCTTACTTGGCGGTGGCTGGTTACTGTGTTCCTCTACGGTCTCTTCAGGCATCTTGAGAAAAACTGCGTCTTTTAGAAGGGTCTCTTTGACTGCATCTAACTCGCACACAGTTTCAATGTCACAACCTTCGGCTTCAGGTTCTTCGTTGTCCGGGAAGAAATCACTCTGAACGGAACACAAAAATAAATAATACAAGAATTGAAAACGACAATAACAACATAGATTATAGCGCTATTAAAATTTTCTGTTTTTACCCCGCTAATTCAATTATCTACAAAGTTAAGTGACAAACTGTCAAAGCTTAAAATAACCTTGCAATTTATACTTTTAATTAGTATCCTTTGAAAGTTGAAACAATTACCTTGTATCTGGGATCAAGAAAGCAAGTGACATTCATTAGCTGTTGCTTTTCGTCACTCGCATATTTGTCTTCAAGGTATTTCATGATGTTTTTCTTTATACTGGCAGTAAGTGGAAGATCTTTTTCTCCAACTGCAAGCTCTTCGTGTTTCAGTCGATACAGGACGGGCTTCAGAGCAGAAATGGTTACGTACTTGCTTGCGCACATTATATCAGTAAATTGAGCAAGTGGAGAAAGAGCAGCATCGACTGCTTCTAAAACTTCTATATCTTGCCATTTTGGAACCAGATGTGCCGTATCCTTGTCCTTGTTCAACACCCTACGCAGTGCTTTTTTACTTTTCAAAAACTTGCTGATCATTCGGTGAGTTGAGCCCCAACGCGTTGCACACTCCTAGAATTAAAATAGAAAAACAAAAACATGTATGTTTAAATCATTTAGTTTTATTATAAAAATGTCGAATAGTGCATGTGTACACAAACCGATGCAAGCTTGACAGGCTTAACTCCTGGTTCTTCTTGAATTTGGGCCTCTGCAAAAGCCTTCTGCCTTTTCCAGCTCATATTAAAAGCGGCCACCGTCTTCCTGCAAACACTGAGTGCACGTGATGTATTCTTCTCGTTTGCGAGGGAATTAGTTATTGCCAAATGCAAGTTGTGGCCGAAACAAGTTATATTGCGCCAGTTCTTTTCCCGGCATGCCTTCAAAACGTTGGCTGCGTTGTCGGTTGTAATGGCTGATAACTTTTTCGGATCCAGTTCCCAGTGTTTCATGACGTCTTCCATACATTCACCCAGCTTGGTTGCTGTGTGATCTTGAGGCACGAATTTTGTTCCAAGACAGCGACTAACAAGTTTCCACTGGTCGTCAATCCAATGAGCAGTAAATCCCATATAAGGTATCATCCCACGCGAAGACCACATATCCGTCGTGGCTGCGTAAAATTCAATGTTTCTCAGGGAATTAAGCACATTTTCTCGCGTAGTGTCGTAGAGTTTAGCTATACGTTGCCTCGAAAAAGTTGACTTCGATGGAATTTGGTAACGCGGCTCTAAAACGTTGAGCAGCTGATGGAACCCGGGACAAGTAACTGCGTTGAGTGGGACACTATCTTTGGCTAGGTAATAAGCTATCGCGTCAGTGATCTCTTCTGTCCGTTTTTGGCCTGGCTGAAGAGGCGCTCTTTTTTCCATTGCTTCGATGATGCTAGGTTGAGAAGAGGATGTCTGGTATTTCTGTGCAGCAGTTGAAGGAAAGGATTCGGTCGCTGGCGCGGTTTGTTTCCTCGCTACATTCAGAGTCGTATACACCATGAGATGGTTTGTTTTTAAATGCGACATTGGATTTGTTGTGTTTCCGGCTTTCGTTTTCACCTTCTTCTTACATAGCTGACATGTTGGGACATCATCTTCATTACTTTTCTTAAAGTAATTCCAAACAGGACTTCTTTGAATAGACATTATTACTTCCCTTTGCAACAGAATAACGAGTAAGTTTGAAACTTTGAATGAGCCGTGTTATTTTGATACCTTGTTTTTAAACCCGCGTCGATACGCGTCATTAACATTATTATTCAAATTATCGCGAATTCCATCTCTACGAGTCATCACAAAACTATTGTTTTCAAGCGTTCAATGCCGCTGCTTGATGATCTTCAGTGATCACAGTTTCTGTCAAAACAATAATGGCCGAATAATCGGAGATTAAGTTGTTTAGTTACAACTTTCGATATTTACAGTATGTATAAGATACCTGTATCACTAACTAAAAATTACTTGTTGAATAAGGTGTACGCAGATCGTTTCCGTGGATTGCCAGCTAAGGATTACCCTCCACCAAAGTTCAAAAAACTTCTAAACATGGCAGGCTGCAGTAGTAAAGATGAAGCTGAATTTGAATAGATCTCTAATCCTGACATGGAAACAAATTTCTAATACCGACATGGAAACAAATACCCCAGAATCAACTTTATCATTAGAAGCTAATACTAGCTTCACGGTTAAAAAGTTGATTAACATGCTAAGTTGAGTTTCGTTGAGCAAAATAAAGCCCGAATTTTTGCAAACATGCACAAGAAGGTAGATTTTAAACCTTTGTATTGTTTTGTGTCATTGCTTCCCATTCACATGAATAACTTTTCCATACGCTTTTTCTTTGCATCTTGATTAAAATTCATTGTCGATTGCTTACTCTTCCCATTCCACATGGGTATCTAAAAGTTCTTTGGAGATAACTTTTATTTTTTGAAGGTTGACTTTGAGTAAAATTTTTGAAAAATGCTCAAAAAATTGTCACTTCATACAAGAATAATGTGAATTGTAATAGATTTGACAGCCACTCTGCTGTGTTTACAAACCTCTTCTGCTTCTGTTAAGTTTTTAATGATTTATGGAAAACTTAACATTGAAAGTTTCAATCCTACTGTTATGTTTCTGCGAGTAATTTATGTTTTCCTGGTATATTTTTATTGTGGTAACTAATAATGTCCCTAGCAAAGAAAATGCATGATATGAAGGTTGTCCAAAACATTTGCTATTAATTACTGAAAAGTAAAAATGTTTTCATTTGGGATAAATAAAAAAATGTAAAAAAATATTTTCTTCTAGAACTTTTCTACAAACATGCTAGGCTGCTAGCCCCAGGCCTCTAAAGTGCATCACACATATTTCACACAATTATCAGGCGTCTCTCTGCCCTATCTTATAACCGCCCTGGCTTTACCCAGTCTAGTTTGCATTTTATTGGAAATTTCTGTATTCACATGAAGTAGTATTGCTGGAGTGAGGGGGTTTTCTTTGATTATTTTCTTCTTTGATGCCTTGCTACCTGATTTGCATTTTTTAGCACATGGTAGTTTGTTGTAATCCTCCATTGAATATATTTTATGACACCTCTTCAGAAGTGATAACAATTACAGTGTTTTGTGACATAGTTTACAAGTCTCCTTCTTTTGGTATTTCATATGATTTGGTACACAAGTCATTGTAGGTGGCAAAGGTTAATATCTGTGCATTTTTGCTGATAAAGTTGGGTGAATTTTTTTTTATGTACATCTAGTCCTTTGAGATAACTTCTGTATTTTTTACTCTCTCCAACTCTTTACTTTGCAAATTCCTCATACAGCCTGCGAAACACATTATAGAACAATAACATGTACATGAAAATTTATAGCCATTTTGCATGCAATTAAAGGCATATGGTGGTCATAAATATGAACTAAAAGGTTTGCAAAATGTATTATACTAAAAGCTATTTCTAAAGCTTAAAGACAGGTTACAGTCGCTTCTGCGCATGTTTGAAGTGTGCTCACACTTTGTTTTGATTGTTGCAATTTGAAAACATTGCGCAATATTTAGTGCTCACAATTTGGGCAAGATGGCCGACGCACGGGAGTGAAAAATTTCATTGTTCCCAATGCTTACTAATATTCTCATTAAAAGAAGCGATACAGTCATTGAATCAATTTCATATCTATAATAGATGCATCTGAAGTGTATTTTCGTGAATATGGCTTTGAGCAAATGTTTAAAAATGAAACATAAAGATTGAAGTGCAACATGTCTGAAGTACGAATCCTTGATATTTATTACTGGCGCGCATTTTGACTTAAGTTTAAAACTATTTCTAATTTGTTATTGGGAAGAGTGAGTAATTAGTGGCAAGTATCAGTCAGGGGCGGATCGAGCAACATAACTAGGTGGGTCCAGGGGCATGCTCCCCTGGAAAATTTTGAAATCTAGAATCCCGCAAACGCGATTTCATGCGTTTTGAGCGCAAAGTTTGCAAAAAATACACGAATAAAATGAAGAAAAAACCCCTGTTATTTCTCAACAAAAAAGCAACAATACATAAAAACACAAGAAAAAAAATTATCAAGAGCCGCCTTTTCTACATCAACTGGTCTGAAAACGTTCAGAAACAGGCAAAGCGCTTTCGAACAGAGGCAGATAACACAGCAAATCTTTAGCGAAAAGTTCAAGGCAACAGATCTTCCAACAGCGGCAGGTAACACATTAAATATTTAATAAAATGTTCAAGGCAAAGGATCTCCCAACAGCGGCAGATAACACAGTAAATCTTTAGAGAAAAGTTCAAGGCAAAGGATCTTCCAACAGCTGCAGATAACAAGTAAATCTTTATAAAATGTTCAAGGTAAAGGATCTTCCAACAGCAGCAGATAACAAGTAAATCTTTATAAAATGTTCAAGGTAAAGGATCTTCCAACAGCGGCAGGTAACACAGTAAATCTTTAATAAAATGTTCAAGGCAAAGGATCTCCAAACAGAGGCAGACAACACAGTAAATCTTTATAATAAAATGTTCAAGGCGACGGATCTTCCAACAGCGGCAGATAACAAGTAAATCTTTAGAGAAAAGTTCAAGGCGACGGATCTTCTAACAGTGGCAATTAACACAGTAAATCTTTAATAAAATGTTCAAGGCAAAGGATCTCCCAACAGCGGCAGATAACACAGTAAATCTTTAGAGAAAAGTTCAAGGCGATGGGTCTCCCAACAGCGGCAGATAACAAGTAAATCTTTATAAAATGTTCAAGGTAAAGGATCTTCCAACAGCGGCAGATAACAAGTAAATCTTTAGAGAAAAGTTCAAGGAGACGGATCTTCCAACAGTCGCAGATAACACAGTAAATCTTTAATAAAATGTTCAAGGCAAAGGATCTTCCAACAGCGGCAGATAACAAGTAAAACTTTAGAGAAAAGTTCAAGGCGACGGATCTTCCAACAGCAGCAGATAACACAGTAAATCTTTAATAAAATGTTCAAGGCAAAGGATCTTCCAACAGCGGCAGATAACAAGTAAACCTTTATAAAATGTTCTAAAACTTTAGAGAAAAGTTCAAGGCGACGGATCTTCCAACAGCAGCAGATAACAAGTAAATCTTTAGGGAAAAGTTCAAGGCGACGGATCTTCCAACAGCGGCAGATAACACAGTAAATCTTTAGAGAAGGGTTGAAGGATATTAGGTATTGAATTCATTTTGCTTTATTCTTTTCTTCTTTATCATTTAATATGTCCAAGAATTGCATCCTTGTAGGATTCTGTCTTGCAAATGTATTTATTATTTCTTGTATATCTACGGTAATATCGTCATTTATATGCATCTGCGCAAGGCCATTTAGCCGTTCGTTAACCATCGTGCTTCTTAACCATGTTTTCATTCGGCAAAGAGCAGAAATGGATCTTTCGCATTCACACGTAGTAACTGGTACCACTGCCAGTATCTTAAGGGCGGTGCAGATATTCGGAAAAGTGAGTTCGTTACAGTTTCGTAGAGTATCCGCCACTGAATCATATGGAACTTTTTCAAAGCCTTCTGTCCAACTGGTTTCCCACAAACTCAGCTCGGCATGGATTGAACGAAAGTTTGGCATGTCATCACTATATGCTGCAGCGAACTTCATAAACTCCGTCTTCCAGTCTTTGCCTTTACAATTAAGAAAAATACCAGGAATAACGTAAAATCCGTTATAGAGATTACACATTTCTGATGGGAAACGATGTTCCATTTCTCCAATCAAGTGATCCAAAATTGGAATAGTAAGCTTCAGTCGAAAATAATTGCGGGCATTGGATATGTTATAGTTATCCCAAGTAGTTTGAACTTTGCAGATTCTAGGAAAGGATTCACTAACTGCTACGGACTCGGCCAATTCTAAGGCTTCATCGTAATACTTATCATGAATCTCTTCCACCGACTCTCACATTTTCTTCAGCTGGACCTTTAGCAGATTGATTTGCTTGAGGGACTGTGCGACATCAATTTTCCGACGTTGCAATTCAACGGTCAAAAACAAGGTGTGATGAAGGATATTGGTAGTAATTACAAGAGTGGCAATGAATTCAAACTTCTGAATTGAGTGGAAAAAAAGACCAGCATCAGAACTCGAATTGTTGAAGTTATTGTTGACATTCAGGTTCATGTAATCCAAGCTGTTGAAGATGGCCTCAAACGCATCCACAAATCCACCTAGAGTAGAGATCCGTTCAACCCAACGCGTTGTCGAAGGAGCTCCAAGCTTCTGGCGCTTCAAACCAATCTTTGCCATTTCCTTTCTCAGCAATTGCATTCGGTTTGGAGATGGACTGAAAAAACTAGAGATCTTCTGTGCATGATCCAACATTTTTTGAACAGAGTTTATCCCACAAGTTTTGGCAACAACAAGATTCAAGCGATGGCTGGATCAGTGGACATACAATGCTTTCGAATTCTTTTCTAAAATACGCCCAGAGACACCTTTTGTCTGACTAGACATCGCACTTGCACCATCGTAACCTTGACCACGAAGATTTGAAAGAGGAAGACCAACTTCTTGCAAAGTTCCTTCGATGTTGTTCGCTAATGCTTCACCTGTAACACCTTTGCATTCAACAAATTTTATGAATCTTTCGTTAATTTCTTTCTTCGAATCAACATATCGCAGGACAATGGACATTTGTTCTTTACTGTCACAGTCTGTCGCTTCATCACCAAGAACCGAGTATATTGGACAATTACTGTTATTTATCTCAGCCACGATTTTATCGCGAATCTGGTCGCCGGAGACCTTAATGAGCTTGTTCTGGATTGTCTTGGAACGATAAGTCGCATTCTTATTGCCACTCTCAAAATGACGTTGAAGGGTTTCGTCACCTGCATCAACTCGGAAATCAAGAAGGGATTGGAAGTTACCAGGATTGGTAGAAAGATAATACTTGGAGTCGTCACGATGTCCTCTTAAAGCGATATTCTGTTTTCCAGCCAAAAGGATTGTCTTAGTGATGGAGGTTAGGATAGATCGGTTCTGCTGAATACAAGCGCTCCTCATTCTATCTGTTTGTTCATCAATACCCATTTCTTCGCCTGTCATAATTTTCTTGAACTGCACCATGCGCAACATAGAATCACGGTGGATCACGGAAGATTTTTGATGTTGCTCAAGTTTTGAAGCAGCACTTTGCCAATTTGTTAATGGTTCCTTGAACAGCTTTATTAATTTGGAGCCATTATGTCCAGTTTCTTTACCAAAAAGAACACAAGAAAGACAAAAGGCCCCATCGAAAAGTTTAGAGTAACATAACCAAGACCACCGATTTAGCCAAGTAAGACAAAATTTTCGCCGCGAAGATGAACAAGGAAAACTGAAAGATTGGGATGGCTTCCAATGATTGTTAATTAAATTAAGCTTAGTATCATCATCGATTGTTGTCACTGAAACAAAATGTCCAATATCCAATGGGTCAACATCTGAAATATCTGCCTTATTTCGCTTCAGGGATGATTCGCCAGAAGTACTAGGTTTTTCTAAGGCAAGTGCAAGCGGACCTGCAGATAAAATGAACAGGGACGAATTACAATTATAATCAGATGAGTTCAAAAACCGGCGATAACAGATGATTGTATACAAATGGTTTGCACCTTTGTATATTAATCTTCAATCTACATGCATTTTTGTTCATTGCAATCATCTGCTTAACAACATCTGTAATTGTGAACTCCCAATAATATCTTTCATATGAAAATGTTGAAAAGATGGCAGTTCAGAAAAAAACTAAATGAAAGATACAATAACTTACGTTTTAGTGTGATCCCAGGAGGATCATATTCCTTTACAGGTTTGTGCTCATCCTTGACAATAGAAGATGTTGATGGCTTTTCGTCTGAATTTTGTGACTTTGTCGTACTTTGGGAAGGGCGAGAAAAAAGATTCTGTTGCTGAGATTGTGAGCACTTCTTCGGCTTAGTTGGGACATCTTTCTTGGTTAAAACTTCGACAAGTGGTACAAAGTGGTTTGGGTTGAAGTCAGCAGTCAAACCAGGCAGAGTATGCACACCATCAATTGTCCATAAGAGAAAAAGTTTAGTTGGTTGACCAAGTTGAAAAATTACATGTGTCTGCCTTGGTTGTATAGTTCCATTTAAAAATTGCGAATACTTGTTCGGTGCTGCTGCGTTCTCAGGGTAAACTGATGTAATGTTCATTCCAGTAACAGACGACAAGGCTAGCATGCACAAAAGAGAGGAAAAGGTACCAGGGTTTGCATTTTGGATGGCTTCATGCTCAACAACTTTTACCCTGCTGTTGGGATCCTTGCGGTCATAACCATGTCCTAGGGCTGAGTCAGATGCAGCCGCTGAAAAAGCACTATTCTCGGATTTGAATAGCTTTGACTTTTCTTTAATGTATGGATGGAATGCATAAAACTCTTGATTATTAAAGAGCTCAATGCTGGTAAGATCTCTCAATAAATTATAAAGATCCTCTTTGCCACAAAGTAATTTGGAACAGGCTCTGTATAGACAATTTCCATCACCTTTGGTCCTATATATTATATACCATCATCAATTAAAAGCCATTAAATGACCTTAATCCTTAGATTTTAGAGAACATGCACAATTTAAATTATCTGCAATATTTTTTTAATTACTAACTAGATCAAAAACACATATAATAGTTTGAACATAATCCTTCAACTGTTCAACAGTGAGGGTTGGCAATCATGATATTGTTTTAAAAGAGATAAGTTTAAATAATATTACTGAGGCATAATTTGTTCTAATGTTCATTTATACACTGTATGGTCCTTGACATTCAATTTATAATCACTGTCGTGCACTAAGGACAGGTCAATTATTGTCAATATTGCTACAACCTCCTGGGTTCTTACCATAATATAATTCTACTGCAAAATATTAATAATGAATTGCATATTGATATTATACAATTCAGAATGATATTTATATATATATATATATATATATATATATATATATATATATATATTTATATATATATATATTATATTAATATATATATATTTATATATACAGTAGGAGGCAAAAGTTTGAGTCCAGTCGTTGTAGAATTCCAGTATTAAATCCTGGCAGCGTATTGGAGTTAAGACATGCGTGCTAGTGTTTCAGTACTGTAAACTATATTAATTGCACACTGTTTTGGTCCTAATGATCTAAATTATAACAAAATAAAGTTCTCATTCCTTTACACTGCCCAAGATGGGTAGGAAAAAGGGCAAAGTGATGGTGCACAAGGACAAATAGTTCCATTAAGTATTGAAGGATTCTTTCCTCGTAAGATCGCAGAAGAAGTGAGAATTTAAAAAGGTGGTATGCAACTAACCTTGGAGAGGTTCGAAGAAACTAAATCCTACTCAAGCAAACTTTTAGCTGCTTTGGTCATGCTCGGTTTGGCAATATTGAAAGATATAATAGGATCCTAATTAAAGAAAAGTATCATCCAATTCTTCAAGGACATGGAATTTCATCTGGTACAAAGATGATCGCACGTCTAACTACATGATAATCACCCTAAGCACATGCACATCTTCTATGTGCCAGAAATCGTTTAGAAGCAAACTCATTCTGGTGATCTCGTTGTCATGGCTTTCCACCTCATATTCCAGATCTAAAACCTATGGAGCACTTGTAGAACCGTTTTAACCGGAAGAGGGCGAGGCACAGACCCGCCAGCCAGGCTGACTTGAGGCAAGTGGTCAACGAATGCTGGCAAGGTATTGAACGTGTGACATTAAAAAACCTATGGAATCTATGCGAGCAAGAATAAAGGTCATTTCAAGAGCAAAAAAGAGGGAACTAAGCAATGACATGTAAATGCATGTTTGCACATTAAAATACGTAAAAATGAATATCATAACATCTCATAGTTGTTGTACAGCATGTATTTTTCTGTTTACTTGTTTACTTTTTTCTAGTTCACTTATCGGTAAGGTTTTCTGTAGAATATTAATATATGCTGCTGAAACAAAGAAATACAGTCACTGGACTCAAACTTTTGCCTCCTACTGTATATATTTATATATATATAATATTATATATATATATATATATTATATATATAATATATATATATATATATATATTTATATATATCTATATAATATATATATATATATATATATATATATATATATATTTATATATATATACATATACATATATATATATATATATATATATATATATAATTATATATATATTATATAATATTATACAACTACATGCAGCTTAATTGTTTAATATATAATATAAAGCTTATGTTGGCAGAATTAGAATATTATTCTTTATTTATTATCATTATTGGCATAGTACTGAGAGTAGTGTAAAGTGTAAACAAATACTCACTTTAGAGCTCGGAGTTCCCCACGTTGCCACGCTTCGGTGATATGCTTCGGAATATATAATTCACTGGCAATATCTCTTCCTACTTTGCCTCTTTTAAAGAAATTCGAAACCTTCGATTTCGAGAGGAAAGTTGAAACTCTCATTTCAGCATCACGCCGTACTGCCTCAATATCGGACAGCTTATTGAGTTCAAGCAAAGAGCAAAGATCGCACTTCATTTGCATCGACATTTGCATATCTTTACTTGCCACCATGATAAAAGCATGACAATGAACAAATACGATGTCACAGTGGCTGAGATGCATCGGTGCGTGTGTGCCCACAATCTCAAATTTTTGGCGAGATGCAGCTTAAAAACGGCCCCAAAATAATAGATTTGTGATGTCACAGTGGCTGGCTAGCGATGCGCCGGTGCATCAACCGATGCATCGCTAGCCAGCCACTGTGACGTCATAAGCCACTGAACTCTATACATATAGCTTGATGAGATATATCCCGCGTCAGACCCAGATATTCTTGGCGCAACATTTTAAATGCTTTCATGTTATTATTATACGATTTTTGACGGCATCTACTGCCCAAAGAGTAGGCGTTGTTAAAAAGCAGGCTATTCGGCCATTTTTTCTCGCAAAAAAGTTTAAATACTATTTAAAACCATTTAGGCACACCTCACATTTACTCAAGTCTCATTTAGTTGCACTGATGCGCCTGAAGGATATTATCGTTACACATATAGTATATATAACTAGTATATATACATATATATTTTTTGAGAAATGTGACCGATGCATTCGCATCAGATGTACTGGTCTAGATCCGCCCCTGGTATCAGTGTTGTTGTTTCCGGCGCACAAAAAACTTCCTAATAATAATGCTTTGCAGGCTTACCATGCTAGTCTGAATGTACCGAACAATTTCAATAAGTCATGAAGAGTAAAGACATATGTATCTTCCTTGATGGAACTAAACGTGAAGGTACAGTACTTGTGGATTGATGGTTTTTAACTATGTATTAACTTTTATCTGATACACATCTGGAAAAAATCAGCCTGTTGTTTCAACAATTTTTAAGCACACTGAGAATACACAAAATACCCAAACCAGAACATTGAGCGAAAGACAACGCCGTACTCAAGAAAAAATGAGGTATAAAATTAAATTATAAAATATAAATTATGGTTTCAATTGGTAACCAAAGAATAAAATCTATGTTGATTTTGCAACAATTATTGACAGAAAGATTGAGTGGTCATGATAATGATGATGCAGGAACTTCAACTATAAGTTATAACATTAGTTGTGACACTATTGAAGCTTGTCAGAATCAAAATACAGGAACCAATTTCCCCACATACATAAATATCGGAACACAGTGTTGTCTTACATCTAAGGCACTTGTTAATGCTCAAACACAAACTGATGAAAGTTTTCTATTCAACCTTGGTAATACCATTGACCAGTCAGGACTATCTGCACTCACGTTTTTATCAATCACAACTACTATGCTGATCACCAACATTTTTTTGATACAAAAGCCAAAGAGCAGTTGAACACCTTGCCATCCACAGCCATCCCATCAACCTCTAATGACAACTAAGACCTTGATGAACCTGGATCTGAAACTAATAGTTATAATAGTTCAATTGATTATCACCAAGATGACATTTATCAGCTGCCAATGAGCCTCTACCAGAG